ATTATGTCCAGTTAAAGTGTGTTTTACATTACCATATTATGTGCATATATGAAAAATATTTTATTTCTTCTGGTTTTACATGTTATTATTCATAACACTCAACGTAAAAATTTGATGAGTTTAAATTCAATACAACTTAATTTTAACCAGCTTTTTTATTATTATTATTATTATTATTATTGTTAACCAGGACTCTAACTTTTGATTATAATTGTATTTTTAATGAGTCAAAACTTAAACCATAGAATCAAAAAACCATCATGAAGTATCAGAAACCGCTGTACGAGATTAAATAGTAGCAAAATATATAGCTGCAAATACCTATTTTGGATATATTTTAACATTTTTTGAAATTCGCCGATTTGCCAGTGGTGGCGGCAAAGCGGGGACGGACGTGTCTAAGTATAATCAACCGCCGCGGTGGCTCAGCGACGTTGTCTGCAACACGTGCGCGTGTATAATAATAATGTTAATATAATATATTAATATATAATAATAATATGTGTAACGCGGCGCCGTGACTATGCAAAAATCAAATCAACCGATTGACACCAGACGGCCCCAGGTGGTAGGAGAAGGGCAAAACTATAACGTATCCCCTTTGACCCTCCCTCCCATCCTCATCACCACGAATATAAGCGAAGAATTTTTTTCAACATAATAATATGATAATATTATATACAGGTAGGTTGTTAAAGGTATAATACGCTTACAAGCCGCACGTCCTTGGCGTGCGACGTAATTTTATAACATTATTATTCGGTCGAAATATTATTACTATTTTTTTTCTCCTACAATCGTCAAAGTTCGCACCACCGTGAAATGAGATTTTTATTTTCATCTTCATGTTCTTAGTTTTTCAATTTTTATTACCCGGTAGGTAAGTTATACGCGCCTATAATACAATATTTCTCTCGGTCGTCGCCCAAGTCTTCCGCACGAAGCGAATGCACGTTATAGGCGTGTTATATACGATGGTATATACAACTGGAGGATAGCACGTTACAATAACTTTATGACGGTTTCTGAGCGCTCGTTGGACAATAATGAATAATGATGATAATCATAATTCATAATAGTAATAATAACGATAATAATAATAATAATAATAATAATATGTAATATTATGTAATGGGCCGAGAATTGTAAATAAATTATTTTGAATACCTATGGATTTGCGGGAAAGTTATTTAAATTAAAAATAAAATCGAGAATATTACAGACAATAATAGACAGTATGATACAGACAATTCGATAAAAAAACAACTTAATTCCATGAACATGTCACGTGTGATTTATAGTAATATTATTGTTTAGTTAAAGAGAAGGATATAGAGCTGCTATGAGACACATAAAAGGCATTTATCTCCAACCCAGTTGTTTTTCAATTTAATTATAACAGATGATTTTCTAATAAACAGTAAACATTGACAATAATTATTTGAAAGGTCTTTAATTAGTTATATTAAACATAACTTTCTTAACCATTTTATCTGTTTAACAATTTGTTAAATTAATAATTTTAATGAATGGATACAATATTTATTTAATCCTTATAATAATTAATTCTACATGGATAATAAAAAGTTATAATTTCTCAAAATATATTTTAAGTGTTTATACCTAAAATAAAAATATATTGTAATTAAAATTATTAGATAATATTCAAAACGTAATTTTTCGTTATAATCTTTCTTGAAATTAATAAATTAAAAAAAATAATAATATTATTTCATAACTTATAATTAGACATTGTATTTAAATATACACTTAATTTACCATGTATTTCGCATATACATATTAGTAATTTATTTTAAACAAGTATTTTAATATTTTTTAATACATTTTTTACAATCTTAATATAAATATTAATTATTTAATAAAGTCTGAAATGTTTCTTTAATTTTAAGTTTCTATAATAAAATATTGTCTATGTTTGTTAATTATCAATCATAAGCGTGTGTATCGTTTTCACAAAAAAATTTTTTTATTAGGTACATATTTTATTTTAGGAATTTTACCTATAATAGTTATTTCAAAATTCAAATAACACTAAACATGTACAAATTATTATTATTGATATCTATTACCCACGTACATGATCACCGTTATTTTTATTTTTAAAAGACGAAAAAAATTTAGTTTTTGTATCTAAATAATTGATCATTTTTACTAGTGTAATAGTGTGTTCATATATTGAATTAAATTAGAATATTGCAGAACGCATAAAAAAATATGTTTTTTGTATATTTTCAATTTAATAAATACATTATAGCATTATAGCATTTTCAAAATTGGTCTACACTTTTTAATTTTATATTTAGAATTGTCATATTAAGTATGTATAAATACAATTTAATATTTCTATTATAGTATTTAAAATAATAAAATAAACTCTGAAAAATTATAATTTTGTTTAGACAAAAATAGTATATTTATTATTTAATATTGTTTTCTATAACCAGCAGGTATCAGTTTATAAAAAAAATTAATTCATCTAATTTAGAAATCGTATTATTTGTTGTTCTTATTATAAAATTTATTTATTTACCCTCCATATTATATTGTTAGACAAATTTGGCCAGGTTTAAATCATATATCATTTTTTTAATCTGATTTTATTTGTGACAAAATGTAATTTATAAATGGGCGTAAATAAAAACCTCAATTGAATCACCCCCCAGAGTGATATAACAATATCGAGCCTGAAAAGACCCTTGGTCAACCTTCATACCTCGTTTCCTGCGCAATGATTTTGCAAAAATTTATTGTACCCCAAAACGGTCATCATGAAAGGATGTGATCGAAATAATTGAAAAAATAATAAAATGTCGTTCATTTTAATTATTATAATCAATAAATACTACTGCATGCATTCAAAAAATACAGGGGCATTGCACAGCTATATGAACCCTAAATGTATACAGCCAATGAAGCGTACATTTAAAACAATTTCCGGAATTATTACTATTATTATTATTGTTTAAGAGCTTATAATTTATAGATTTCTCGCGTTTATAGTTTATACATCCAGTAGCGCATCATCATACAATTATTTGTCCGATTACGTTTTTAATATTATGTTTCATCGAAACATAAGTGTTGTCAATGTTACATTGTTACTAAAAAAAAAAATGTGTTCTAAAATGGAATCGCCTGTTTTGTGGTTAATCTAGGACCTCCTGGTTAACACCTGTCGTATACAGTTTATGTGTACCTTCCTATACGTCTGAAACGAGTTGATAATACAATATAATTTCATAATAAGCACTAAAAATAAAAATGTTAGATTTTTGTAAAAAATAAATATAATTTCTTAAAGCTGATATTTACGATTATTATTATAACTAGAAAATCGTGTACAAGTAGTAATTTGTTTAAAACAAATTCCATTCATTAATAATTAATCATAGCAATGGTTTTTATAATAAAGTTAAATATCAAAGTATTTTCAATACATATTTATTGTCATAGATTATATTAAATTAAGTAATATGAATTATATGAAATTGAATTAACCGAAAAAAATAATTATTTCATAATTTTTTATGTAATTTAAAAAATTTACTATAAAAACGGGTTATTTTTTACTGTAACAAGTTGTAACTATAAATTTTAAATAATACTACGGTGCAATATGTTTATACTTAAAATATAGTATATTTATTTTTCGATTAAAATTAAAATCAAGATAATTAACAAAAACAAATAACAAATGTTATATTACATGTGTTAATATATTAAATATATATATACATATACATATATGGTAAATTTGGGGCAGAAACCTACATGGTTTTCCTGTATTCCACAGCTAACATAGTAGTACATAAGTCTTTGGCTAATTTTCTCGTATATACGAAGGCTTTACCGTGCATAAATTATTTAATTGTTTTCAAACATTTAACACAACCCGTACAACTGTTGCTTATATAGTCACGTTTACTTCAAACACAGGGGGCTGCACAACGTGTAGCAAACCGTGACGAAAGTGTTTTACTCTTGACTAGCATGTTTGAAAGAAAAGTTTTCCCCCCAAAAATAAAAACATGTTCGTACAGCACGAGTTATCAGTTGGAAATAAACCAAAGATTTGAAAATAGTATAAGACTATATACAAATGAAAATTAAGACTTAACATGTACAATTACTAATTTTAATGACAATACCGAATGTGTAGGCAAACTTGTCAACTTAATTTATGTAGATGCGGTGTATAATATATCACTTTCGAACCGTGTTTGGATTAGTTTACGTTTTAGAAAGTCATTGGGACAACACTAATAAAAACTTACACTTTTCTGTTCACAATTATTCATCACGATTGCATTTAAAAAAAAAAACACATTATTTAAAGATGATATTTTCACTTTTTTTATTTTATATAAAATAATCGAATTTTAGTGCATTAAACATTAAGTTTTAAAATGTTTAAAAATATTTTTAAAATGTATGTTGTTTGCACAAGTTATAGGTTTGTATTAGTAGACGCAATTGCAGACAAAATAGGAAGCCACCTGTCAGAGCGTTAAATTTTGAACAGAGTCATGTATACCTTCATTTTTAATAGTAAAAATATGATTTAATAAAAGCAATGAATTTTATGCATTTTTATACTAAATATGAACTATGAAGTCCATGTTTAATTTTGTTCAAATTCTATTTTTATTTACTGTTGATTAAATTCAAAATATTATTGAAACATACATAACTTGTAAAATATATTATAAATAAAAGTGTTTGGATACTTTTTTTAAGAATATGTTTCTCGAAAATAAAATTTAGGCTTTTACTGTGTATGGTTATAATGATAAGAATATCTAAAAACCAATAATGCATTATATGTGCTATTTTTGCGTTTCTAATAACAATTAGACAATCATAAACAATGATATATAAAAAAATTAATGTCCTATAAAATTTACTAATGGATGACAGAAAAATCTAACTACAACTAATTAATTTTTTTAAATTTATTTTTATAGAGAGAAGGTACTTACCGTATTTTGGCATGTTCTGTCACGTGGGTTCGATGTACATGATAGTGTATCACACAATGCGAATATACGCAAACACAAAATACAAATAACCGTTATATTATTACAATAATATAACGTATCACTTTTACTCGATACACTAAACAATACGGTTTTAGAAAAAAAAAAAATTAGTGAAAAATTTTAAGCAATTTAAAAACTACGATTATTATTTATTAAATATTTTTTTTTCTTTAAATTTTGTTAGTGTAAGTATTATTTAAAAAATTATTATTAAAAAAAAAAAAAAAAAAACTAACAAACTAACGAACTAACGCGCAGAGCGTGATAAATATTAAGAGAATAAAACCCGATGTCCACTACCGCCGGTAATGTGGAACTCGCGGGTTGTCGTGCAAGACTGAAAAGAATCCGCCGGTAGACGGACAGACAAGAGGTGGCCGCTATACCACCTTCGCGTGTTGATGCCCTCCGCCTGTTGCTGGTGCGGTGACGTCACGTGTCCGCCGGACGCAACCACTGTAACCGAACGAACAGATGGGCTTTTCGAAGCCGTACGGAACGCGCGCGCGTTTTTTCCCCTTTTTCTATCTTTTTGTTTTTCCACGATTGTTCACTGTTTTTGTCATTTATTTTTTTTTTTTTTGCAGACGTTGTAAAACTACGCTTTGCCACACGACGAATGATGAGATCATATTTGATCGTAATGAATATAATAATAATAGCATTTACCGGTATAGCTGTGTAGATTTGACATCAGCAATGTGACGTATAACGATTAATTTAATAACAAAAAAAGGCAAAATTCCAATATCATATTAAAAAGTTTTTGTTTCTAATTCAGCGCAACACGCGTTTAATGGTTGTTATACGTAAATAACTGTTAATTATTTATTACCATTATTATTTTGATTAATAATCCAAGTCAAGAACACATACACGACGTACCTATGTCATTTTTTTCAATATTTTAAAATTAGACAAGTTTATCCAATATTACACTTTACGATAAAATAAAATACTTACAGTAAATATAAAAAACAAGTCTGCTTAATTTGATAAAATATTATTTAAAAAACTGTTATGAATTAATATAAACAGTTAATATATTCCTATAATTTTAGGAAAGATTAATTGAAAACAACTCATGACTACGAGTCTGTCGACCAGAAGTTAAAACTAATACGTTAACGCCGATTGTAAACAGATCGCTAATCATTATGATATACCTATACATTCTGCATTATAAAATACAAACAACATACTTAAATGATGATAGGATAATGGTAGAATCAGAGGTGTCATTTCGGTTACTTTCCGGATGTTCGAACTTTTAGACAGGCTAATTTTAACGTTTCATCCGGCCGTATAATGTATAAAATCATAGAACAAAAATATTCTCTCTTTTCCATTTATAATTCTAATCGCAATTACCATTCTTATCAACTATAAAATATTTTTCAAATAGGTAGCAATTGAAAAAAATTTGAATTCGAAAGTTTCTAAGTCATAAGTAACTAAAGTAACTAGCTGAAATAATCAACCTCACTATTGTTTAAAACAAATTAATAGTTTAACACAACGATGCATCACAATCTTTGATGATATAATATATTTTATGATTTGATATTATGATAAATGATTGATAACAAAGATAATAAGTTTATTTTAAAACTAATATTCGTATTGTATGTGTAGGTATACATCATAATATAAAATTTTAATATGGCCGCATATAGAAGTATTAATGTATGCAAATTGTCAATATACTTAAGCTTATAGTGATATCGTCACATTTGCATAGCCTGTTACACCTTCTCAAATGACGCCCCTAAGGTAGCCAAGTAAGTATATTTCATACATAGACTGCGGTTTATAGATAAATAAAATTTTAGTGCAAAGTGCGTTAATCCTTCATTTTTTGTTCTGTTGAATTCGCACCCAACCCAAATTTTAATGTTGTAGCGGCTATACCAATATAAATTCTGTATAAAAATGTGTGCACAGGTCACAGACGCTGTAAATAGAGAACCTGCAATAATTATTTTTACGAAAGTATCACAAATCAAATCTATAATATATCATAAATATATGTTATATAATGTAAGTACTTATTATCTAAACAAAAATTATTCTATAAAGTATAATGGTTTAACTCATAGTTGCGTATTAAACCGTTTCTTCCTAAAAAAAAAACCTGTAAATAAATATACACTAATATTATAATAAATATTATGAAATCCCATACATGGAATAAACTGTGAGTAAAAAAAAAGGCTCAAAAATCAATTTTCTAAAAACAGACAAACTTTAAAATGTAACTGTTTTTTTTGTTGTTGTTGGTTTGAAAAAATTGAATAATTAGCATGAGGTATAATTTATTGGTAAACATTTTTATCGTGTCTCTTAACATATTATAAATCAATACCAACCACTGATGTTTGTACTATGGTTGTGTTTTTTTTTTCAAAAGGTAGAAGAGCTAAAAATCAGATGATTGATGTACGTTTTACCTTAACGCAACGTCCTAGAATATTCGCAAGAAAATGGGTGACAAACAAATAAACTATCAATACTGATTCGTTTGAATTCTATCGCATATATATAACATTAATATACAACCACAACTTTTTTTTTTTTTAATTATATAATCTTGGTATTACAATAAACGTATATAATATATATGTAAATCAAACAACATTTTCCATTTAAAATGATTCTATACTACTGTACTAATGTTGTAATAAATGTGTTTACAATTATTTTAAAAGCATAAAATATATACATTAAGTTTGTTGTTATTATGAAAAATTTCTGTAAAGGTATATTTATATCAATAAAATTAAACAAATTTCCCTCTCTTCGTGTGTCAGCTAAACTGCGGTTTCCCATATAACCTCAGGTCAACTTTCCTTTTTGAACAACTCAACCTAGCTATTACTGACCTCGTACAAAACACCTAGTTTATTTCTGAGTCAATTTATTTTGATTGATTTGTAGATATATGAAATATTGTTTATTTATTAAGTAAACTATGCAACTTTAAATAACAAATAAAAATGACAGAGTTTAATATATTCTCTAAATATTTATTTAATCAAAATAATTTTTTAGGATTTAGCAAAGCTTTTCCGATAAATAAAGGTAAAATAAATTTATTTTAACACGTTCGCTGCGGCTTGATTTTCGTATACCCATTCCCCGGTGCTGGTCAAATGTACGTGTTTTTTTTTTATGACGCCTATTAGCGTCATCAGCGTCACTGAATAATTTTTTAGCCAGACGCTGTTTGACGCCATTGGGCGTCAGTCATCGTATAAATATATAAATAAAAATAATTATCATTCAAATACTTTATTATTACAATAATATCAAATCATCTGTTCAATCCTGTTTTCATATCCCCGATTTGTACAAATGCGTTTTGGTCGAGATGGACCAGATTCATTCAATTTATTACTCATATTTTCAAAAAATAAGAATAAAATACGTCAAATAACGGCTATTATTAATTACGTATTTTAAAGTCAAATTACGAACAGTTATAATTACGTATTTCACAGTCAACCACATGCGAACAACTGATAAAGTAATGCTAAAATAACATGAAATAATAGTATAAAAAAATTCCCCGTTCAAGTCTTATCGTAGACCTAAAAATAGAAAATTTAAGATACGGATTTTACACACATATACAGTAATATGTACTGAACAACGCTGGTGAAAAAAAAATGATTAAAACGCAACGCTGACAAAATTAAAAATAGTTGAAAATAAATGTATAAATGACGCCTTAAGGCGTCATCCGCACATGGGAAACGATAGAAATGACGCCTAAAGGCGTCATCCCGCAGCGAACGTGTTAAGTTTTTATTACATAATGCATATGTGTTTTAAATTTGTATCTTGCATTCTTATACAAGTGTTTTGTATATAAAAAATAAATATATAATTTTTATATTAATACAAATATATTCTATACAGTAGATATAAAACTAATGCAGATGACTATTTTAATTATAATTTATAGCCAATAAAAAAGCATTTATAAGCTATATATCTTTGAATTATCATAGTAAAAATGTCATCATTTCATCAAGAAAAACAATTAATCTATCTTTAAAAGGTAAATACCGAAATATCATAGTTGAATAAGTATAAAATTTTTATTTTATATAGTAATTTATTTTAAATATTAGTTTTACAAATACTATCGGTATAGTCATACATAAATGTAAAGAAAAATTAATCAATTAAAAAAGAAAGTAGCATTATTAGTCATTACTAGATAATGATTATTCATAAGCTCGTAAAAATTATATAAGCCATTAATAAACCTACCTAGTATATGTTATAAAGATAATAAATAATAATATTTAGATGTATTTGTGTACTCTTGATGTTTATAGTATTTACCTTCAATAAATAAATAAAATGAAAAAGATATGAGTCGGCGAGCAATATAAAATAACTAAAAATAAATATTTATAAAAAAGTAGTTGAACAATTATGTTACATTTTTTGAATAAAATATAAAAACAAGTAACTCAGTTGGAGAAATTCAATCTAAAGCCAGATCATCAAATTTTGTTATAAAATAGTAGTTAAGTGAATATTCAATAAAAAAAATGTCATTTTCATGCTTAAAAAACTCATATACAAATCAAATATGCACTTTGGTCAATTATAAAAAAAAAAGGTAGGCAAGTGGTTATCGTCCTGGTGTACATTTAGTGGGTTATAGCTAGGTCACTATTAAAGTGTTAAACTTGAATTCAATGGCTTATAATTGTTTACGAAAAATGATTCTGTATGGAGACAGTATATTAGCCTATATCACTAAGTATATTTCGTGGTACTTATAGTTTTTTTTATAGCTATTAAAGTTATTAATTTTACTTTTAGTATTAGGTACAGTAAGTTAATAAAATTTTTTCTAAAAATGATTGCGTTTATTAAATTATTAGTATTTAATTATCATACTACCGTAGTAACATATACCATAATATTATATCAACTTTTATAACTGAAAGTCGTTTAGAATTTCATCAAAATTCTTGCTTAAAATGCAAATAAAAATAATTTGCATAAATGTATTTTTGATATTTCTATACAGATATAAGAATAGCTCGTGCAAGATCTTTTATTAAATTTATAAGAATTTTGACACTGTGAA